GAAAGAGATTAATTTTTTTTTTGTATTATATTATTTACTCTGTTTTACTCAGTGGGCTATTTTAATCTAAATGCTCACACCTTTGTTCCACTGAGCATGTTTTCTATTACTTGTCTGATTCTTTCCTTTTCTCATTTTCTCTCTTTTCTCCTCCCAGTGAAGTTAGACCTCTTTGATAGATTCTTCAAATGTCTTAACTTTTCCCTCATATTAAAAAAAATCTACCTTTTTCTTATATAGTAAGAGATTTTAATCCTTATACTTCACATGGTTACTTTTCCTTAAGTCTCTAGGGATCTCATTTGCTTTCTATGTTTCAGGAATTTCTTACTGTATCTAGTCTATAGATGATGTGCCTTCTTGTTTTTCAGCACTTTTATGAATTTATTCTAAAAACAACAACAAAACTCACAAAACTATTCTTTATTATTTTTAGAGATATGGGAACAGTGTAAGTAGTTAATGTCTTAAATCATCATTTTGATCCCATCTATTGCTTTTCTGTCCCTCCCAAATATCATTTTAAGGTGACTTTTGGTTTTTTGTAGATTCCAAAATTCAGGTTCTCTATAGAAATTTTGGAAGAGTAAAAGTAAGTAATGTTGCCATTAATTCCACCACCATTATAGAGATAATATTAACATTTTCTTGTTTATAACTTCCAGTTTTTATGCATATGAAAAAATGGAATCCTACTGTACAGTTGTTCTTGTAACATGCTGTGTTTATGCACATATATTGTAAACATATTTATGTTATTAATCTTCTAAACATTATTTCTCTGTAAATGTATAACATATATATACCGACATTGACTCAATCACCTCATAGTTGAACATTTCTGCTTTATTAGTGCAGCCACTTGCATCCTTATAGATAATATTTGCACGAGTCTATGGTTATATTTTCAGAATACTGGAGTGAAAGGACTTGTAGAGATTTTTCTCTCCCATTATCTGAAAAGGATGTCCAGAGAAAGTCATATGAAATCATATCCTACCAGCAACAAGGGGCTGGCTGAGATTTCATGTAAGAATTCCTAAACTTTGGTGGTGGATATGAAGAAGGAACACAACTTCATGAAATACAGTGCTCTCCAAAGCTAGCCAGTCATCAAAGTCACCTGGGGTGCTTATTTAAATCACAGATTATTGGACCCACCCTTGGAAATTCTGATTCACTATGTCTAGTGCTGGCCCCAGGAATCCATAGTTTTAACAAGCTCCCAGGTGATTCTAATGACTAACTGAGTTTAGGAAACAGCACCTCGAAACTGAAGAGCCTGGGGAATGGGGGTAGGCAGGGCGGATGGTGCAGGGGTGTCCCAGGTGTTTCCCAGTAGGGGAGGTAGATATGGGAACAGAAAAAGGGAGTTTTGATAGTAGGACTGACCACTTTGGGGACTTTTTCAACAGGCAGAGCAAAGGCACAAGCTCTCAGTGCGGACAAAGATGTGAGACGTGAGACTGCAGCAGCTCCCTTTCCATCTCTGGTCCTCAGTGTTTGTGTAAACTGAAGGGGTTGGACCCATCAGGGACTTTTCCAACTATGGGAGCCCAAAGCCACAATGGTGGAGGGGTGGCTGAGTGGGTGCAAGTCCAGGCTTTCCCCAACCCACCCTCCCCAGGGCCCCCAACTCTGCTTTATATTGAGGTCTCTTAAGATTTTGTTTGGAGAACCGTTTTCTGCTGCCAAGAAGTTTGAAAATCTCCAGACTAGATGACCTTTCAGTTCTAAAAAGTCACATAAGTTTGTGAACAAAAGCTAGGGGGAGGAGGAACAGTCCAGAACATGGGGTTGAATGGATTAGAAGGGGAATCCAGAATGGACATTTTAGACCTCATTTTAATCTGAGGGCTGACCCTTTGGGTTGTGGCATTAGCTCCCAATTTTCATCTCAGAATCAGTGTACTGCCTGAGTCAACTCAGAGTGACCTCCGAGGAAAATTCTGGCTGCCTTCCCATCAGATTTTTATATTAAATTTGCAGGGGAAGTCCCTCCCTTCACAGGACCTGGAAGCCCAGAGAAATCACGGAGGTTCCTCTGCTAATACTTTGGTCGTGTCTTGCTTTTTGAAAGTGTTTCAACAATGGGGTATGTTTGACCTTCTTTCAGCCTTCTTTCAAGCTGGGAATTTAAGGTGTTCTCTGAATGTAGAGCAAACAAAGCTTTGGCTAACTTGCTGCTTTGATCTCTGAGAATTCATAGGAGCACGAAGGGAGGAGATGGGCCAGGGGCCCTGGAGGAATTAACTGTGAAAACCTGGCCAGTCTTTGTTGGATGGGGAAGCTGGGGTGGGGTGTCGGGTGTCTGGGGAACAGATGTGAGCCTGACTTGATCTTCTGCAGCTGCAAACAGAGTTTTGCCAGAGGTGAATGTGAGTTCCCACAGAAGCCATAAGTGCTCTCAGTGTAGCCCACCAGCGAGTGGTCTGTTTTTCCCCCCAGAACTGGAGTTAGTGCAGGGCTTTTGCAATTTGATTCCAGCGACTATGTAACAGGTTGGATGGAGAAAAGACTTATTTTGAGAAACCAGGGATTTGATGGGTTTTACCTCTGTGTTATTATATTCATTTCTAAACATTCCAGAGAGGTGATGGAGGGATAAAACCAGCCTTCCTCAGTAACCTTTTACTGCTTTGCGATCTCAGCTGAAATGATGGGCAGGGCAAGGTGGGGCTGAGTCAGAAAATGAGCGACTTCCTCCAGAACAGCATGCCTCTGAGTTTGTTCCGTGGAATACTAGTCCCAAGAGATACTCCAAAAGGTTAATGATCAAATAGGTTTGGAAAATTCTGCCTGTCGTGTTTTCTTCTGGAGATTCACAACACACATTTGAATACTTGAGGCTCTGAAATATCCTATAGTCAAGAGTAAGTCGTCTTTGACTTTGTTGAACTGAAAACTTCTTTGACTTAATTGAACCAGGGAACCATCATCTTTTTTGGTGGGGCAGAGGCACCAATTAATATCAAGTGAATTGCATTTCAGGAAAGCCTGGTCTACAGGCTGGAGAAAGAGAGGGTTTTGCTTAGCATCCGCAGAGAGGGGGTTCCTGAAGCTTCTCCTTTTGTCCTTGGTGGGAACCCACCAAGGTGGCTTCAACCACCTGGGAGTTCTTCCTAGGGAACCCACTCCTCTGCATTATTCTAGTTAGAGTAGCTCTGCTTTTTATTTCATTTGGAGAAAAAAATATATATAAGCTGAAACATGGTTGAGTCAAATTCCCATATAGAGGAAAAAAATTCAGAACTTAGAATGAGTCTGTTTCTAATCCCCAGCTCCATATTTTCTTCCTACAGAAAGAGCCAGAAGTGGTGACAAAGTGGCATCCTCTTGGCCATAGTAAATGATTCAGGAATGGGTAGTTGACCCATTAACCAATCAAGTCCCAATAAAGCTTATCTTGGGACTTTTGGTTGAGCAACTTATAGGCAAGTATTGTCTTTTCCACTGCACTTGTGAGGATGTGAGCCTGTTGACATCCATCTTGTCATGAGGGAATCACCCCAGAGACAGGGAGAGATTGGATCCCCATGAGTCATTTGTGCGCCTGGATCCAACCAAGCCTGAAGTCTGTGCTATTTGTTTATGCCAACATTAGTGGCATTTTCTGTTATTTGAAACTTGAATTGCCTTTACTCATACAGTCCTCATCAGAGATCTCTTGGAACTACACATCTCAGATGACAAGAATTCATTTCTCTCTCTTCTTTTTCAATTGAAATATAATTGATTTACAATGTTTCAGGTGTATAGCAAAGTGATTCAGTTACATATACATGTTATATATATTATATATCATATATACATAAAATATATATAAATTCTTTTTTGTATTCTTTTCCTTTATAGCTTATTATAAGATATTGAATATAGTTCCCTGTGCTATACAGTAGGTCTTGTTGTTTATCTATTTTATATATAGTAGTGTGTATCTGTTAGAATCAAATTCCTAATTTATCCTTCTCCTCTCCCTTTTCCCTTTGGTAACCATAAGTTTATTTTCTGTCAGTCTATTTCTGTTTTGTAAATAAGTTCATTTGTATCATTTTTTTAGATTCCACATATAAGTGATATCACACGATATTTGTCTTTCTCTGTCTGACTTACTTCACTTAGTATGATCATCTTTAGGTCCATCCATGTTGCTGCAAATGCTTTATTCTTTTTAATGGCTGAGTAATATCCCATTGTATATATATACCACATCTTCTTTACCCATTTCTCTGTTAATGGACATTTAGGTTGCTTCCATGTCTTGCCACAATGAACACTGGGGTGCATGTATCTTTTCAAATTAGAGTTTTCTCCGGATATATGCCCAGTAGTGGGATTGCTGGGTCATATGGTAGCTCTGATTTTAGTTTTTTAAGGAACCTCCATACTGTTCTCCATAGTGGCTGCACCAATTTACATTCCTACCAACAGTGTAGGAGGGTTCCAACAAGAATTCATTTCACCACATCTTCCTAGCTTACTCCACCCTTAAAACCAGTGCAAACAATATTAAAGAAATGAAGTTATAATAATCATCATTAATTAATAATAATTAACTTTTTTTTCCCTAGAAGATACATGAAAGTTTATCTAGTCCAAAGCCCCATCTGATTCTTCAGATTTGAATTCTGCCTGCCTCTCATTTTACTTTCTGGTCCTGGACTGACTGCAGACCAAATCTAATCCCTCCTCCATAGAAGAGTTTCCAGATTTTTGAAAATAGCTAAGACGTCTCTCTTACATACCAAAACACATCCCCTGCCTTTCCTAGTAGAGCCAGTTTGGGTTTTCCTCACTGTTGCACTATGAACATACCCTAGATGGCTCATGAATTTCTTTCGTCTCAGGTTGCTTTCATGTATGAAGCCTAAGGCAATGTATGCTCATTGTAGAATATTTAGAAAAGCAAGAAGAAAATGAAAACTCACCAGCGATCGAACTGCCAAGAGATGGCTGTTGTTGACATTTTGGGTGACCATTCCTTCATTTTTCTTTTCAAGTATGTAGATGAGCACACGTATGGCTGTGCTGGACCTTTGCCTCCTTTCCCTTCTCTTCTCGTTGCCTGGGAGGCTGGCCTTCAGTGGACCACACCTGCAGCAGATCTTCCGTGCCCACCAATTCCAGGTGGGTTTGGACAGTGGGGTTCTCTGGGCATAGATCTTGCAGAGGAGAGAGGCCAAGGTGCTTATGTCTCTGTTTCCTCACGGGAAGTTGTCTGGGGCTTGTGTGTCCTTCAGCAGTTCACTGCCCCTTCCAGGGCAGCTTCCAGAGTTGCTTCTGCTCGTGACCTTCTGCTACTAGCTCTGGCTATCCTCATGGTTACATTCTCCCACCCCTTCATCCATAAATTCTCCTGTAAGTGTCCTATTTGAATGTGCCGTCTTTTTCCAGTAGGGATTTTGACTGATAACAATTGTATTTTACAAATATGAAACATACTGTACAGAGTGATTTATAATCTGCGGTATCATTTCTTGAAAACCTCTCTTTATAGTGTTTAACATTCCTCTACAACATTATTATAAATGGCTGAGTAGGTTTTATTTTTTTAACAAATGTACCATAGTTTATTTAAATCTTGAGAATTAGAGAATTAATTTTTTCTCCAATTAATTTTTTTTCCTATTACTTTGGAAGTACTTTGATGAATATCCTTGTAGGTAAATATTTACATGTATTCATCATTACTTCCTTAGGATAAATTTGTAGAAAAAAAATTTCTGGATCAATAGACATGAACATTTGGAAAATGTTCTCTGTAAATTGCCAGATTGCCCTCCAAAAAGTTTTATAGCAATTTATACTGTTTCCAATTGTGCATAGGAAGACTGTTTCTCATACTCTTTCCACTGTTTAATATTACAGTGAAATAATACTATTTCCAGTATAATAGGTGGTCTCTGTCCCTTTTAATATGTAGTGCTTAGGAGTGAGCACAGACTCTAGGATGGGGAGGAGTGGAGTTATCACCTTCTTCCTCCTGAGCATAATACCTTTATTGATATATCCTAAGATGATAGTCACTGTGGTGGGCAGAATAATGGCCCTCTACAGATGTCTATGTCCTAATACGCGGAACCTGTGAATATATTACCTCACATGGTAAAAGGGACTTCGCGGATGTGGTTAAATTAAGAATCTTGAAATGGGAGATTATCCCGGATTATCCAAGTGGGCCCAATGTCATCATAAGAGTCCCTATCACAGAGAAAAACGTGATGTGATGATGGAAGCAGAAGGAGGCTGGAAGACGTTATGCTACTGGCTTTGAAAATCTGGAGGAAGGGGTCACAGGCCAAGGAATGCATGTGGCCTCTAGATGCTGGAAAATGCAAGAGAGTGGACTCACCCCTGAAGCCTCTGAAGGGTATGCAGCCCTGCTACCACCTTGATTTTAGACTTCTGACCTCTGCATTTGTATTATTTTAATTCACTGAATTTGTGGTAATTTGTTGAAGCAGCAGTAGGAAACTAGTATGGTCACTTTCTTGTTTGCTCTTGGTTCATGTTGAGAAGAACATCTGCTAAATCCCATGACCAAATGTGTATATACATATTTATTTATTTTTTTGATATGTTCTACTGTGAAGCCATATCAGTCCTCTCTTCCATCATGCCCTTGGTTCCAGGACCCTCCGTGTGAACTCCCTTTGTCTCTGTGTTTGAAGTTGGGGCATGAGAGCAATCACATAGACATGATGTTGGAACCCAGCCACAGGGAGCCAGGTGGAGAGTGTTTAGGGAAATGGTGCCGCACTCTCTCCATGGCAGGAAGAAGCCCTTTGTAGATACTCCCAATTTTATGCCTAAAGCATTCTTTACAAATTCTATAATGTGAATTCCTTTCCCACACTTTCATTTTTCTTTTCCATACTTTACCACTTTTTCAAATTGATCATCAGAATATAGTAAAATAATACAGCTCCTCATACTTGTGGAAGGATTTTCCCTTACCAAGTGCTTTCACGTAAATGATCTCACTGAATATTCCCAGCACTGTGCTTGGCAAGTAGTAGGTGTTCAGTTAACGACAATGCCCACCCTGCCCTTCCCCACAAAGAAATGTATTTTTACCCTCAGGGTTTCCATCAATATGAGCACCCACATGCACAGTCACACCCACAGGTATGGGTGTACACCCATGGGTCTTCTCACTTATACTTGCACATTGTGTGTTACCCCTATGGGCTCAGTTAGTACAGTATTTTATTTATTTAAAAAAATGTATGTATTTACTTATTTATTTTTGGCTGTGTTGGGTCTTCGTTGATGGGCGTGGGCTTTCTCTAGTTGTGGCGAGCAGGGGCTACTCTTCGTTGTGGTGTGCAGGTTTCTCATTGCGGTGGCTTCTCTTGTTGTGGAGCACAGGCTCTAGGTGCATGGGCTTCAGTAGTTGTGGCATGCGGGCTCAGTAGTTGTGGCTCGCGGGGTCTAGAGTGCAGGCTCCATAGTTGTGGCCCATGGGCTTTGTTGCTCTGTGGCATGTGGGATCTTCCCAGACCAGGGCTCAAACCCATGTCCCTTGCATTGGTAGGTGGATTCTTAACCACTGCGCCACCAGGGAAGTCCTGTCAGTTAGTACAGTAGTTTAGAAGTGACATCTTTATTCATGCTACCAAGAGAGCCATCACCCTTTTGTAAACCCCTGAACAGAAGGAGATCCAGGAAGTCCCAAGTCCATTGGTGTCCTGAAAAAGGAAATCACAAACTCTGTCACCGGGACGTGTGCAGCTGGTGCATCCCCTGCCAGGGCTCAGGTTTAGTTTGAGTTCACCTTGAGGATGGAGGAAGCAGGAGAGGGTCTAGTGGAACAGTCCAGAACCTGCTCCCTCTGCCGGCTGCCCCACAGCTGATGCTGAACATTCTCCAAGCCTCCTTCTTGCTCCTGTGGCTTCTGACTTGAACTTAGAGGTGACACCCATAGCACCTGAGTTCCCACGGTCTGTACCAAAAGGAATGACTGAAAGCTGCCATCTTACCATCTCAGCTTGCCTGGGAAGTCTCCTAGAAAACTGAATGTTTTGAGTTTGGAACATTGGACCTTTCATTACTGCTGGCTCCAGAGGGCTTAATCCAGACCTGGCTTCCCCATGAACTCTCAGTAAGGGCCTACTGATGGATGGGTTACAACACCCCATCACTTTCAATGTTCTGTTTTGAAACAGCCTTGTTAGCGATGTCCAGAATGCTGTTCTCTGGTTTTATTTTTATTGGAGTTTAGGAATCAGACGATGATGCTCTCTGGTCCCCGGGGCCTAGAAAGGCAACTCCTTAAGCATTTCTCACAGGCTCTGCTCCATGTGAGACCCAGGCAAACACACAGTGTGGAGACCGACCCTCACGTGAAACAGGTTTCCCTGGGGCCCAGTCACCCCACAGGCTCTCGGCCAAGGTGTGAGCTTTCAGAAGTGTAGAGGGAAGCTGATTGCAGAGTTTTCTGATGCTCCTAACTGCTGAATTGGGCTGAGTTGTTTAGGGAAGAGGCTTGTAGTTAAGTAAGAGCCACGAACAATGTATTCCTAACTCATACGATTTATGCTGGAGAAGCTGTGTGGTGAAGTGGGAAGAGTTCTGATTTGGGGTTTGGAAGACCTGGGTCTAAGTGCTGTTGCCTCTCCGTACTAGCTGTGTGATCCTGAGCAGGATACTTTGTGTTTCAGTGTCCTCACCAGTGATTATAAAATCTCACAGGGTTTTTGGGAGCCTGGAATGAAATATGCATCTGAAACCATGTTGTATCTGAGTTTTGGTTCCTACTAAGTTTTGATTTTTGCTGGTGGGCATATCCTGCTTTACGTAGTTCCAATATGGATCACCTAGTTGAGTGCTAGCATGCGATGACACAGTAAGCACTTACTGACCCAAGAAAATTCCAGATTAGTGAAAAACTGAAATTAGGATGGGTTGTTTGCTTTTAAAACAATTTACTTCTGTGTTCTTTTTGATACCCAAATCTTTTAGAGAACAGTGACTGACCAATAGAAATATATGTAATTTTTTAAGGTGAGAAATTCATTGTTTTTTGGAAATCACAACATAATACAAACTTTAAAAAACTGAAAACTACCATGTATATTATGATAACTTAATATTGGTATTAGTCAGCTATCTGATAAGTCTCTACAATAATTTCTCCTACATTTTTGGCAGCCTAGTCTTTGATCACCTGTTCCTGTGACAATGATTTTGCAGTATTAGTTTTTATAGAGGGAATGGAAAATATAATTTAGTTATTCTTCTAGCATCATTGCATCATTGGTAGTTTAGAAAAATTTCTTTTGCTTTGCTGTTAATTACTGGAAATGTTTTCTCATATATGTGTTAAATGCTATAAATTTCCCTGTAAACACTGCATTTGCTGTATCCCACAAATTTTGATAAGTTGTATTCTCATTTTATGGCTGCTTTTACTAGGTCTTCTTTTTCTTTTGTTTGTCGGACATCCCTTTATGTTTTGTAAAGGTTATCCTGCTTGAGATTTGTTGCAATTCCTGCATCTGAAGTTTAATGTCTTTAAACAAGTGTGGAAAATTCCGACCCATTATTTTCTTGTGAAATATTGCTTTTACCCCATTTTCTCTGATGTAAATATTTGTTAAACTTCTTGCTCTATCTGCCATGTCTCTTAATGTTAGGTTCACAATTTCCAAACATGTTTCTCAGTGTTGCATTTTAGATAATTTATTTGTATCTATCTTTCCATTCTCTAATTTTCCATTTGGCTGTTTCTCCTTTTCTGTGGAGGTTTTAATTTCAATTGCCATGGTTTTCATTTCTAAAAGTTCTTTTTGTCAATTTTGCTTGGTCTTTTAAAAAGTCTTTTACTTCTTGTTTGTGTATCAAATTTCTCTTTTATTCCTTTAAATATAAAATTTATACTCTGTCTGAAATTCTAATGTCTGAAATATTTGTGAGTCTGATTCAGCTATTATGTGTCTGCTGATATTCACATAATGCTTTGTTTCTACGTGTCTTTTGTTATGTTTGGCTGTGAGTTGTTAATTTTCCCTGGAACACAGATAGATAATCTAAAATCTTCTAGTAGCTATATTAAAAAAGTAAAAAGAAACAAGTGAAATTAATTTTGCTAATATATTTTATTTAACCCAATATGTCAAAAATATTATCACTTTAATATGTAGTCAATATAAAAATTATTGAGATATTTATATTCTTTTTTTTGTATGCAGTCTGAAAAATCCAGTGTGTATTTTATACTTCTAGCACATCTCAATTCAGACATTAACTTTACCAGAAACACTTGATCTATATTTAGAGTTCACAAAATTTACAGTTGAAAAAGTAGATTCACATACCCAAGATGTTTCAAAAGGGTTTTCTGAAAATTAAATTGAGTATTAGTCTTTAAATTTAGATTGAGTAAAATAGAGTAAAAAAAATTAACTCTTCAATAGCACTGGCCATATTTCAAGGGCTTAACTGCTACATATGGCTAGTGGCTATTGTATTGGACCGTGTAGTCTTAGAACAATTAAATTTTGCTCTTGACGTTCCAGTTCAGACATGCTTTCTAGGGTCCAGTCTTTGGCAAATACTGAGGAATAGTTGTACAGGTTAGACTTGTGGTTCTCAGGTCTGGGGATCTATTAAAAATATCATTTATGGGTCCTCTTGGACTAAAGGAAATGAATTTCTGCAGGTGGGATCTGGGCATGAGTATTTTTTTTTAAAACCTTCCACATGATTCTAATGTACAGCCCCAGCTGGAAGCTCTGGAAGATGAATTTGGCTAATATTGCAATATGATGCTTCTTATTGTCTGAGCAACCTATGGAAACATGGAAAGGAATAAATTGGCATAGAAGGCTCTGGTACTTTTTATTTTTTTTAATGCCTCTGTCAGAACTAAAATCTTTTTAAATTTAGATTTTGTTAGTATTCTTACCAAGTGGGAGAACTCTATCAATAAGTTTTCAGTTGCTTTATTACTTTGGAAATAAAAAATATTTAGCCTTTTAGTCAACATTAAGTTGATGTGTTCTTGGGGCTTTTCCCAAGAACGTGCTGTTGCTATTTTATTTAAGAGTGTTTAGAGAAGCTTTCCATTCTGGATAAATGCAACTACCTATACTTATTTGAGAACTGTAAGATTCTAGTGAGATCTTACATGCCAAAATTATAGCACAGCTGCTATACACAACCTATATTGACATAATAGCTATCACTCCATCATGACTCACCACTGTTGATGAGCCAAATTGGTTTTAGCAACATGCCTGACCTAACTTCAGTGACATCATTGTGGCTGAGCCAGTTTGGGTAAATTTCATGAAGATCTTCCTGTTCCATGTCTGAATTTGCCTATTGGTTGTTTAGATACCTGTCCTAGTTTTCATAGTTGGGCATTTGTATTACTTAATTAATTTACTATTCTTATTTCCAGGAACCTAATGATATTTTTTCATTTCACTAATGAAATTTTTTCATTTCACTTATTCAATCAACAAAATTTTATGGTGCAGCTACCCGGCTCCAGGCACTATGTTAAGTCTGATTGGCAATTAGGCTTCATCTCGTGTGCCAACCCTAATCGTTGATTGCATGGTGTTGAACAGCATTCTGAATTTCTGCCTAGGCTTAGTGGGAAAGAAAGCCATGGATAATTAGTCATGTCTGCCATAGACATAGGACGAGACAGTGGGGTCCCATATGCAAGATTTTTAGCACCCTGTGCTAGAAACTGGGGATATAAAATAAATAGCATTTGTTCCAGCAGGGAAGACAGACAAAAAAATAAGAAAATCATGTGGTAAGTTGTATGATATTGGTTTCTAGAAAGTTCTATCAAAACATAGAGGAGGTAGCAATTAATATAGCCTGGGAGGGTGCAGCAATGGTGGTGGGGAAATCAGGGGAATGTGAAGAAATTGTCACAAAGGTAATATTTCAAGGGAATAAGGAAGGATTTGTAGGAATTCAGCAGAAAATGAGGAAGGGCATTCTTTCTGTGTGTGCATTTTCATCCTTTGATAGGTTACTATCAAAGTAAATGGGATTGACTAATGTTATCAGTGAAGTTTGGATACATTAAAAAGTATCGTACCTAATATAAATAATGAAATCTGATAAACTGAGAACACTGAACAGTTGGGAACAGTTAGACACATAGTAGGTGATAAATATTTGCTGAATTAATGAATGAACATATTTCATAGTCATATTCATATAGTTAGCATAAGTAACCGAGATCCTACCTTATGCACATTTTTACATGCAACTTGTAAACATATCATATGTATTTTCTACATCATAAGTATTCTTTAACGTAGTTTTAAAATACTTACCATATTTTAGCTAGTGCATATGCAAAAATTTGCTACACGACTCCCCTGTTCCTAGGTGGTTTCAATCCTTTGCTGTTTGGAAGACTGTCTTGAATCTTTTCTTCATATTCTCTTTTCCTGTGTTCCCAGAAGCAGTCTTGTTGGATTAAGGGGCGTGAATAGTTGAGTTCTTGATCCACGTGTCAAACTGTGGAGCTTCATTTTGAGGTGGGATTGCTTCTTCTTGTCACCTGGTCTGGTAAGGGGCATGCTCTTAGTTTTTGGGAGGCACAGACCACACTAAATAGCTAAAGGGTTTATGGTGAACCCCTAGGTGTACTAGGGCTAGTGACTGGGGGTCTGGCCTTGGGGCCATGAGATGAGTGACGGGCAAGTAAGGGGCAGGGTAGAATGTGGCATTGGGTGGGAATGACTTAGTGGTGAGCTGCTGTGCTCATCCAGAAGTGGTTTTGTGATTGCGATAGATCCCAGACATCTTACAGTATTGAAAAGAGCATGGACGTGGATCAGAACACCTTGGTTCAATCCTGCCCTTTCACTGACCAGCTCTGTGACTCTGAGCAGGTGACAATCTCTGTGAACCCCAGTGCCCTCCCTGTAAAATGGAGGTAATAACACTTGTGTAGGTGAAGATTACTTCATAGCAATTGACCTTGACTATTTGAATAAAATCCCCAGTCACCCTCCTGTTTTGGTCCATTCCAGCTGCTATAAAAAATATCATAGACCAGGTAGCTTATAAATAATAGAAATTTATTTCTCAGAGTTCTGCAGGGTGGAAGTTTTCTTCCAGACTGCCAACTTCATGCTATGTCCTGGGTTGCAGACTGCCAACTTCATGCTATGTCCTCATGTGGTGGAAGGGAGCTAGGGAGTTCTGTTGGGTCTCTTTTATAAGGGCACCAATCCTATTTGTGAGGGCTCCACCCTCATGATCTAATCACCACCTAAAGGTCCCACCACCTAATACCATCATATTGGGCTTCAGAGTTTCAACATGTAAATTTGGGAGGACACAAACATTCAGACCATAGCCCTTCTTAAGGAAGACCTACCTCCAATTCCTGAGTTTGAAGATGAGTTTTGAGCCTGAATTTTCTATATAGTACAATCCCTTTAGTTGCAGATTCAAGCATCTCAGAAGAGATGCCAAAGATTCTGGGTCCAGACTTCTCCCTCTTTCTCTGTCTCAAGGAAGAAGAGATGTTTCTACACCTCCTTTGCATGTCCTGACAGGCCCTTGGGGAGCAGGGTGTAGGGAGGGCAGCAGGTCTGGCCAGTGTTTGCATGGGCAGCTCAGGATCTACAAGTGAACGTGGCCAGTTGATCTCCCATGAGTGCCAACACAGTTATGAAGCCAGGAGACTTGTTGATTAAACTGGAGAACTGCTATTCTTAGTGGCAAGCTGTCATCCAGCCCTTTTGAAAAAGGAGAGAAACCACTCAGCCAGGATCTAAAAATACTTAGGGACTGACAACCAGCTCTGGCCAGAACTTGGGTCTGGAACCTGGTTGGGATATACTGAGTAGGCGAAGGCATAGTATATCAGCAGAACCTTGCAAGATCACAGAGCCCAAGGCTCAAACAAACAAAAACACTTTTGTTTTTGTATCTATGGCACTTTAATTATTATTCATTATAATTAAAATAAAATTTGTAAATATTTTATATTAAGAATAATAATGATAAAAGCTGCTTATAGAATATTTCCAACGTGGTGGACGCTGTTCTAAGCCATTGTGCACATTATTTGATTGAGCCCCGCAATATCCCTGTGGAGTGGGTAATGTTATCATTGCCATTTACAGATGAGGAAACTGGACCTTAGACGTGAGGAATCTGGGTCAGTCTAGTTAGCCTGAAGATAGTCTAGTATGTGGAATGGCCTGGCTCGGCCTTTGATTTCCATCCCTCCTCTTTGACTGCTGTGGGTTGCTTGATATTGTTTTTCTAGCTGTTCACAAGCTGCTCTCTTTCAACATCTCCAGGGAAAATCTTGGTCGTTGGACCTCTTAGGAAAAATTCTCAGTGGTGACTTGACTTTGGGTCTCCTTGTGGAATTTATGCATTATGTTCGGTTGAGCACAGTGGTCTGGTTTAATGATGCCTGCTTCAATTTGCGTAGAGACGACACTCCCCTTCCACTGACACAAATGTTAGCTGAGTTACTTGCAGTGTTGCTCGTGGATTGACTCAGTGCCAACAGGCACCATTCCCTGTGGATATGTTTATAGGTTTTATCTTTTTTGAGCCAATTAATTTTCTCCTCCTGTACATTGGGCCCTAGGCATGGTGGAAGCCTCAGAGGCTTTAGGGCAATACCAACATGGGTTCAAGTCTAACTTATTAGAGTCCCCATGTGACATAGCTACTATGTAGGCATGTCCATTTCTATCTTTCTACATTTGTATTTCAGAGATTCTTGGGAGGGACAGAAGATGTTGGGTGGATGAATTTCAGGCTGCCATCTTGAACCGAAGCTGGTACCTCCTAATCCAATTTATATTTCTGTGGTTCTCATACTTTTCACTTAACAGTTTCTGTTTTATGGTTTTCTTGTAGCCACCTCAAATTCTCTGTGGCAGGGGCTTGGGCACAAGTTAATAAATAAATACCACAAACAAACACACAAACACAAAAATGGTGACAATGCTTCCTTAGTCTGAAAAGACTGCCTGCCGCATCCATGCTACTTTTCTAGGAGGGGAAGAGAGGGAGGAAGGAAGAAAGGGAGAAATACCTCACTAATGCTTGTGATAGCAGTAAGTCAAAGCCCCCTTCTCAGTGTCTCTGTGTGAGTAAGAGCTGAGGAGGTGAGACATAAAACAAGATGGAGCAATTGAGGTGGCAGATGGCATGCAAAATGGATTGCCTCTTGCCCTGTTGTTTTTTGCCTTTTTCTAGTGTATGGCTAGAGCCCTTGTTGACAGTGGCTTCAGCTAGTTCATCTTGTAGTCCTTTGGATTACATTTTGTCTAGGGGATACTGACTTAACAAGCCCAGAGGAATCAATGGTCATTCTCTGCAAATCAGCCCAGATGAATTCTTCATTAGCTGCTTCCCTCATTGTGGACCCATTGGCAGATCCTGAACAATGGGGGCCCAGTTAGAGACAACCCCCATCAGGGAGGGGCTGGAGCTGAGAGGAGCAGGTGTATTTTCCTTGGGCCCAGCTGCAAAACACACCACAGGGCTGCCCTCTTTGGAATGTACATTGCTGTCTGAATTTTGCCATCTATAAATGCCTCCTTGGACCAGCCCTCGCCCACTTTGAATCCTTGCTTCTCAGAACTGTTTATAAACTAAGTGCCTCAGAGGTGGGCCCTGGGTGATAGCTCAGCAGAACAGGACAGAAGCTAGGCTGGCCTGTTCTTCTAGAAAGAAGAGAGGGGCACAGCACAGAAGTCCAAAACCAAGCTTTCTGAAGTGTTGGCCAGGAAAAGGGAAAGAATGCAGACATCTTTCATAACCCCCAGATGTGTCAGCAGTCATAAAAATTACTGTTTCTGGGCGGCTTTTAGGGTTTTTTTCCCCACGAAGGAGGAGAAACTTCCAAAAAAAAAAAATTAATCTTAAATAGGTGGTGTATCAACTGACCTCTTTCTTATTGCAGCCTATAGGGCCCAAACCTAAAAAGCACTGATTAATTCAGGACATTTAGGCAGCTCATGAATATGAGAGTAGTTGGAAATATCCACAAAGCAATAGCCTAGCACTTGGAATATCTGTTCTCTGAGCATCTTCAAGGGCCTTCTGTAAGATAAGGCCAATGGGTAGCAACGTGGCAAGTCAGTGATGACTCTGGTACTGCTGATCACATCTCTGGCTCCTGTATTCCTTTTTTAAAAAGTCCTTTTGTTTCATTCAGATGCTCAAATTGTGTTTAGGAGTGACAGTGTGCCAAGGAGAGGGAGCCTGCATTCCTAGCTCTAAGGCAGATGTAGCTTCCAAGTGTCCAGCCTGCTGCCATCAAGGAGTTGAGGGATACAGCCAGTCACCATCCCTGTTATTCTAGGATCTCAGAGAATTCCTCTGGTGGCCACACCATCTGTGCAGAGCCCAAGCCAGTAGCCTGGCAGTTGGCCTCCGTGCCTCCCTCCCTCCCCCCATCCTCTCCTCCCAGCAGCTGTGTCCAGTTGATGCTACTTATCCAAGGTCCCAGGATTCATCCTGGTCCCTGTCTTCCTCATTGCAGCTCCCTGAGCTCAGGCTCCCATCATATCTCAAAAGATGGTGGGTCTCCCACCATCAAGCTCGCTTGCCTCCCATACATTTTGCACAAGGCACGTGGTGTGGATTTTCTGGGGCTCACAGCAGCTCCTAGCATCACCGACTCTAACCCCTTCAGGGGTTGCTTAGATGCTTGCAAATTCCGAACCTGGTGTATGTGGACCTTCATGATCTGGACTCTTTTGGCTTTTTTATCTCTGGACAGCCCAGGCCTCCAATCACCTCTCCCTCCCCCACCACCCTAGTCGTTTTGAACTACATTCAGCCACTCACTAGCTGGGGGATCTTGGGGAAGTCAGTTAACCTTTCCGTCCCTCAGCTTCCTCATTTGTAAGCTGGGGATAATAGGGGTTGCCAGGGGTTGTTGAGGATGAAATAAATTAATACAGGCACCGTGCTATGATCAGAGCCAGGCACTGGCTGTGCCACCTTCTCTTGCTTCTTTGTTGCAGAAACATCGTTGGATGGACATAGAGATTATCACCCTAAGTGAAATAAGTCAGACAGAGAAAGACAAATTTCATATGGTATCACTTATGTGTGCAATCTAAAAACATGATACAAACGAACTTATTTACAAAACAGAAACAGACTCGCAGGCATAGAAAACAAAATTATGGTTACCAAAGGGGAAAGGGAGGGGAGGGATAAATTGGGAGTTTGGGATTAACAGATACACACTATTATATGTAAAATAGATGAACAACAAGGGCTTACTGCATACCACAGGGAACTATATTCAATATCTTGTACCTATAATAGAAAATAATTTGAGAAAGAATATATATGTATATACATATACATATATACATATATATGTGTAACTGAGTCATTTTTTTGTACACCTGAAACACTGAATATCAACTATACTTCAAAAACAAAATAAAACAATAAAACTGTTTAAAAAAGTGTAAAATCTAGGCACATTAGAATGCAAGCATTTTGTTTTTCTGTAACCTGAGTAGTAAGAATAAATATCTCTATTAAAAAAAAAAAGTTCTACCTTAAACTACTTCTCATTTTCTTTAGCTCCCTCCCACTCACCCTGGAGGTCTCAGCTAAATAGTCAATGCCATGATAGCTAATTATCACCCAGAAACCCCCATCCCCAACTGGGCAGGGTCCCCTGCAAGGTGCTTGTGCAGTGTAGTGATCAACACTTCTGGGGAATGGGCCCCATATACATTGTGTCATAACCATCTGCATCCCAGTCTGTCCCTACAGCAGACTGAAAACTTTTTGAGGGCAGGGACTTTCTCAGGTACCTGTGGCCTCTTGGTAAATAAATATTTGCTAATATATATTAAAAAAAAAGAGCAAAGTTGGCTCGGTTGGAGAGACCAGGCCAGCCTCCAGGTGGATGCTTGTAGACCCTGGGAGGGTCGTATTTCTTTTCATTAATGGATAAATGGTTAATTCTCTTTTAATGAGCCAAAGGAAAAACAAATTTACCAAGTTGACATTTAGCAAAAGCCATTTCGACATCTAGAGATGTTCCTGGTTCTGGAACTCAGAATGACCTTACACTTTAAAATGTCAGTGCAAGTTTGCTGGGCTGATTAGGTTTGCCTTTTAGCTCTTGCCTCTAATCCCCTTCCCTGCCCATTTCTTGCCTCAGCTGGGCTTTCCTCCAACACAGTCCAACTTTGAATAGCATGCCATGCTTCCTGCTCTCCCCTCAGCCCGAGTTTCTCCTGGGTGCTGAGAACGGCTGGAGAAATAGACTCTGTATTTAGATCTCATGTGGTTGTGACTGGACACAGGGTGGTGTCCTGGGGAGGAGGCATCTTTTGCCTCCCTGGACCAGCTGTAGCAGCATCGACATGGCTGAAAGATTCCGTCATTCCAGTTGGCCATGGCTCATTAAAATGCGTGGGCTTGCTGGGGGCTAATATTTCCAAATCGGTGCAGCTCACAGGGCAATGGAAACAGATTATGATGGGTCTTTTCCAATGTGTCTGATTTGTCCATTGTCACATGCATTGGAGAGGGGAGAAAGGTGTATGATGCACAGAGCTGTTTCCCAAAATCTTGCACCGAGAACCTCCTTCTGGGAATATGTAATCTCTTACCTCTCCTCATCCTATAGGAATTAAAAGAAAAAACCCAGTTTGTCACTTTTGCGTGTTACCAAAATTGAATTTAAGAATTTTTAGACATGTTTTTCCCATTTAATAAGCGATGCATGCTGTTCTATTTACTTTAATTAGGTAAGAAAAGCATGATTTGTCAACAAAGACATTCATGAATTACATAGTTTATCATACTTGGTCAAGAAACACAATTTTAAAATGCAAATGGAAATTTAATTATGTATTGGCATTGAAAATAGGCAAGACCTGCTTTTGCAACCTCACGTTTGGAATTTCTGCATTTCGACTTAAAAAATTCAACTGCGTAATTTTGAGTTTTATTTTTAAATATTGACATAAAGGAGGAGAATAGGCCACTTGCCATTATTTCTTCAAAGTATCCCATTGGTGCAGTGGATAGCTTCATTCCCAGTAAAGGAAGAAGCATGGATTTAATTCTCATTATAGTTTTCTCACTTTAACATTGGCTTCTGGAATGTTGGAGACAGCCTGAAGGGCTACTAAGGCTTTTGACTAGATACATGAAATTTAGAGATTAGCCTCAGAAAATGTAGGAGTGATTTGGCAGAATTATCATTTTTAAGCTTCTTGTGTAGGAGGCAGCTTCTGAGATGGTTCCTTCTTCTTGAGTGTGGGCTGAATCTAGTGACTTGCTTCTAATGAAGAAAGTGATGGGATATTTCTTCCAAGGTTAGGTTGTAAAGGACTATGACTTCTCTTTTGCTCTCCCTCTCCCTCTCTCTTCTCACTTGCTCACTCTGATGAAGCTGGCTGCCATGTTGTAAGGAAGCCTCCACACACACCCTCCAGGGCAACTTCCAGCCAACAGCTAGTAATGACCATCTGAAGCTCTCAGTCCAATGTCCCGTGAGGAGCAGAATCCTGCTGCAACCACGGAGTGAGCTTGGAAATGGATTTCTTCCCAGTCGAGCCTTCAGATGACTGCAACCCCCTCAGCACCTTGATTGCACCTGTGAGACATCTTGAGCCAGAGGACTCAGGTAAGCTGTATCCAGAGTCACAGACATAATGTGAGATAATACATGTTTTTATTTTAATCCACTAAGGTTTAAAATAATTTGTTATGCTGCAATAGAAAATTAATACACTTTGTTACTTTCTTGTTGATTTCAACATCACTGTTCCTTATGCTTGTGGTCTTTAGCCAGTGGCTACACATTAAGGGAAATCTGGTATACATGGCATAGTATCAGAAATACAACAAGGTCATTCAGAATCAGCCTGGGCAGCTGAGCCCCAAACCACCCAAAGGTCTGAATCATGAATGTGCCCTTCTGCCCTCTCAAACAGCCTCACTAAAAATACACAAAGAGAGGGCTTTCCTGGTGGCGCAGTGGTTGAGAGTCCGCCTGCCGATGTAGGGGACGCGGGTTCGTGCCCCAGTCCGGGAAGATCCCACATGCCGCGGAGTGGCTGGGCCCGTGAGCCATGGCTGTTGAGCCTGCGCGTCCGGAGCCTGTGCTCCGCAACGGGAGAGGCCACAACAGTGAGAGGCCTGTGTACCGCACAGAAAAAAAGATTACACAAAGAGGCTCTCACATAGCTTTGTTTGTTTTAAAGAGAAAACATATTTATTTCCTAGGTTGATTTAAAAAAGATGCCATTGCCACCTTTTGTGATGTGAATCCAGGTGATGGCTAAGGGGAAAAAACATCCATCTGGCAGCCAGGAAAAGAGAGCATGTGGGGGACCTTATGGGAAGTTTTGATAGGTCAGAACTGGAGGTGGAAAATAGCCCCTCTGCTCACATTTGATTGGCCAAAATTAAGTCACATGATCATGTCACACTGCAAAGGAAGCTGGGAAATATAATCTAGAACTATGCCCAGAAGGTGGAGGAGACAGATTTTGGCAACACATAGCAGTGTCTGCCAAAATGATTAACTCTTATGAAGTTGAATTGAGCCTCTAGGACAGCGGTCCCCAACCATTTTGGCACTAGGGACTGGTTTTGTGGAAGACAATTTTTCTATGGCCCAGTGACGGAGGGAGTGGGGGAAGGTTCAGGTGGTAATGTGAGCAATGGGGAGCGGCAGATGAAACTTTGCTTGCTCGCTGCTCACCTCCTCTGTGCGGCCTGGTTCCTAATAGGCCACAGACCAGTACCAGTCTGCAGCCCGGGGTTTGGAGACCACTGCTCTAGGATATACAGACACCATACTAAGCATTACAGACACAAACAAGGTAGAAAAGTGTGGTCCTTGTTCTCAAAGACATCACAGTCTAGCTGGAGGAGTCTGTTGATGAAAAGTGGTTTGGAAATCAAGTCTTATGCCAGCTTTCACCATCCCCATGTGAAAAGCAGCTACAGAGTGTTCTGTTCATGGGCTGAACAGTACGTGTTCATCCTGTGGAGGTTTTATCCCCAATGCCAGGGGGCCACAAAACCACTCACCTTAAGACTCTCTTTGTTAGAAACTACGTACATGACAAAACCTCTCCCTCCCCTGGTGGAATGTTTGTGACTGTGAACTTGCAAGTGGCATGTGTGGGAACCAATTCGGCCAATGGTCTGAAACTCCAACAACACCTATTTGCAGGAATGATGTTTTCCAGGGTAGTTTTCAATGTTTTTGCCAAGAATTGGGGAATCAGGTATAAACTGGAGCAAGCTCTTTGGAAACATCATTTTGGACTATAGACTGAAGTTGAAAATATGCATAACCTGTGACCCAGCAGTGTTCTCTCACCTTGGGGAATATTTTGATCATGTACACCAGCATAAGAACGTTCATCGCAGTGATGTCTGTAATAGTAAAAAACTGGCAACTGCACAAATGTTCATAAACAATAGAATAACTTATGGTATAGCCACATGATGGAATATTATACAGCAGTGAACATGAATAATTTATAGCTTCATGCATCAACATGAATGAATATCAAAAACATAATCTTGAGTGCAAAACACAAGTCACATAGGAATAGATAAAGATGATTTCATTTATATAAAGTCCAAAAACATTCCAAACTAAACAATATGTTGCTTAGGGCTATGTATATAGTGCTGGTGATTCATGCTAGCACTTCGTTATGCTCTGGGGGGCAAGGGAGAGATCAAGCATGGAGGGATCAAGCTTCCATTATTCAGTCTCTCTGCTTGTTTCTGCTCTTTTACCATCAGAAAAATTAATGACCTTGGCCCTACTTGCCCAGCTTCTCATGCCAACCCCGGCATTATAGCGAAGTCCCACCCAGCCAAAGCTGAGAGGGAGGATGGAGGAAGGGACAGAGAAAGAGAGAGGAGAAGAAGAAGAAAATGAAGAAAAAGAAGGAGAAGGAGAAGGATGGAGAAGGGGAGTGGGGAGAGAGAATGAATATGTGTGTGTGGAGGGTAATATGGTTTGAGAATGGAAGAGAGATCCAGGTTTTCTGACCCCACTTACATGTTCAAAAAATGCATATGTGGACTGGACATCTATTGAATAATTTTATATCCCTTTCACTGTGCAAATCAATTCCGTATATTTCGTGTCATTTCATCCTCACAGCAGCCCTGCAAGGGCATGTAGTTGTTCCCATTTTCCCTATTAGGAGTATAAAACTCAAGGAGGTTAAGGGATTTACCCAAGGTCATCATGGTGGGGATGGGAACTTTGGTGTTCAGTCTCAAAATGTATAGATGCAGAAGTTCAGGGAATATGCTTGGAAAAATCTAGTGGGAAGTAACCTCATCTAAACCACTGCCCCTTTGAATACTGCCATCTCAGCCTGGCAACCCCTCTTCCCCATTTTAATTTATTATTTTTGCTCCAGGGTACATCATTTGGAGGGCAAAGTGCCGGCAGCATTCTCCCTGCATTGGCTCTGGAGGCCCACTCCTTTGAGCAGGTGGCTTGGTCCTTGCAGATGTGGTTGAGCTTACACATCTGGCAAGCATTAGCTAGTGGGCAGCACATGCTATTTCACAGCCCTCATGAAATTTGGGTCTGCTGCCTTTTAATAAACCATCCAAGGAAGCAAGATCCCTGGCATTTCCTTGGCAGTAAGGTTCTGGAAGAAACAGAAAAATTTCTATCATCATGATGGATTTGGTTATTTTCATCTTGTACAAAGTTACTCACAGTTGAAAGGTTGGACAAGATAGCTCTTGATTAAATGAAAAACTGTGTCTGACTAGTACATAAATTATGTAGTGGAGGAGCAGAAAAATCAGAGTGTGCTTTTATTAGCTGAGTCCCCGTAATGGTTTAACTCAGACTGGAGAAGCCCTTCTACCTTGCAAGTATGTCAATAGGTACACGGTTGAAACATGTCCTTGAAGAAATGAAAACTCTGATTGGAGACTGAGTTTTGGTAATGGGCACTAGCTGTTGTGGATATTGTCATTTTCATCTTTGCAGTTGTACTACTTTGTTTTGTGCTTATTAATCCATTAGTCCTGCCCCTACCACATCCACACCCAAGGGTCCTATTTCTATATCTTATGGTTTATTTGTTTGGCCTGTGAGCCCTTGAATTGCCTTCCTCATCCTCACACATCCATCCCATGTTCCTAGACATATATTAAATGTACAGTTTAGTCTTTTGCCAGGATTCACTAAGCTAGCTAATTGAAATGGGGAGGACAATGCAGTCAGATGGCGTCAACTGCATTTTTTTTTTTTTCTCCTGGGAACTTGAATTTAGAAGGGAATGGTTAAAAAAAAAAGAAGAAGGAGAGAATGGTAGTAAATAATGCTGTTCAATAAATATTCCTGATTCTCCTTCTGAGCACATGGTAGGACTGCATTTCTTGGCTCCATTGTGGTTGGACAGAGCCTTTGAATAGCTCTGACCAAAGAGTTGTGAGCAGAGCTGACATGGGTTATTTCAAGGATACACAAGACCCCTAGAATTCATTTCCCCTTTGTCATGGCAACCTGCTGGAGCTCCATAGCAGCTCTGATGAGCAGAGCCCCTACCAATACACCATGGACTCTAAAATAAGTGAGAAATAAAACTTTGTTTCTTAGAGAACAAACATATGGTTACCAAAGGGGAAAGGGGTGAGGGAGGATAAATTAGTAGCATATAACATATGTGTAACATATACACACTACTATATACAAAATAGATAACTAACAAGGACCTACTGTATACTACGGGGAACTCTGCTCAATATTTTGTAATAACCTAACTGAGAAAAGAATAGATATATGCATATGTATAACTGAATCACTTTTCTGTACACCTGAAACTAACACAGCATTGTTAATCAACAATATAAAATAAAAATTTAAAAAAAACTCTAAAAAAAAGAATAAATAAATAAAATAAAAGGCACTGAGATGGAATTGTTTATTACTGCAGCATAATCTAGCTTATACTGACTGATACAGAGGGAGAGAAAGAAAAATACGGGTAAGCAAGGAAAGGAAGAGTGATCAAAGAGAGAGTTTTTATGTCTGTATGCTGGGATTGGAATATATGATCTTGGGAGTGGTGGTTGTCCATTGGTTGTCCATTCATACAGTATGTACCCTTTTGTTTCTGGCTTCTTTCATTGAGCATAATGCATCTGAAATTAATATATGCTGTTGCATGTATCAGTAGTTTGTTTCATTTTATTGCTAATTCAGAATAAGTAGCTGAGAAAGCTACCCCACAGGAAGCTCACCATCATTGCCTTGTCAAATTTTCTACCCTAACCACTTGCAACCCCAATATAACATGGACACCTTATTTTGCTATCGGCAGAAAAGAGATGTAAAATTTTTAATTTGTTTTTTTAAAAAATACTAGGGGGCCTTCCCTGGTGGCGCAGTGGTTGAGAGTCTGCCTGCCGATGCAGGGGACGCGGGTTTGTGCCCCAGTCCGGGAGGATCCCACATGCCGCGGAGAGGCTGGGCCTGTGAGCCATGGCCGCTGAGCCTGCGCGTCCGGAGCCTGTGCTTCGCAGCGGGAGAGGCCACAACAGTGAGAGGCCCGCTTACCGCAAAAAAAAAAAAATAATAATAATAATAATAAAAAATCTTTCCTAAGTGCAAGCTGATAATTTCTGACTTTTAATTGGTGTGTTTAGGCCACTTACATTGATTATTAATATGGTTGAATTTAGGCTGCCCTTTTATTATTTGTTTTCATTCCTCTGTTTCCTCTCTTGCTTTCTTCTGGGTGGAGTAGTTTTTAGTCTTTCATTAAATTTTTTCTGTTAACTTTTTGGGTTTCTCTCTTTGTGTAGATTTCTTTAGTGTTGATCTAGGGATAATTACATATTAATTTTTACAGTCTAATTAGAGTTAATATTTTATCACTTCAAGTAGAGTGTGGAACCCTGACAACCATTTAAATCCCTTTAGCCTCTGTCACTTTAAGTTTAGTTGTTATATGCATTATATTTACATACATTGAAAATCTCACCAGACGATATTGTAATTTTTGCTTTTAATAGTCATAAATATTTTTAAAAACTTAAGAGGAGAAAAATAGTTCAGTACATTACTCAGATATTTATCATTTCTGTTGGTCTTCCTTCCTTACAAAATTCCACATTTTCCTTGGCATCATTTCTCTGCATAAATAACTTCCTTTATCATTTCTTTTTGAGCAAGTCTGCTAACAATGATTATCTCACTTTTCCTTCATCTAAGAGTATCTTTATTTTACACTTATTTCTGAAGGATATCTTCACAATAGAGAATTGTGCATCAACAGTTCTTTTCTTTCAGCATGCTATAAAGATGTTTTCATTCCTTCCAATACACATTGTTTTGAAAAATAATCTTCAGTAACTTGAATTTTTGCTCCTTTATGTGTAATATGTCGTTTATCTTTGATTTTCATCAGGTTGATTATGATGTACGTAGGCACAGTTTTCCTTGAGTTTCTCTGGCCTGGTGTTCATTGAGATTCTTAAATCTTAATTTATGCCTCATAATATTTGGGAAGTTTTTAGCTATGCTTTTTCAATTATTTTCTTTCTGCACCAATTTATTTCTTCTCTCTTCTGGAAATCTAATGACACATATGTTAAACATTATTGAATTGTTCTACAGGTCCTTGAGACTCTGTTCATTTTTTAACACCATTTTTTTTTTCTTGTTGTTCAGTTGGACAACTTTTGTTGATGCATCTTCATGTTCACTGACTCGGTCATTTCCATTATTCTATTTAACTCAAACGGTGAATTTTCTATTTTGGTTATTATATTTTATGGTTTAAAATTTTCCTTTTGGTTCTTTTGTATACTTTATACCCTTTCTGCCCAGAATTTCTATCTTTCCATTTGTTTCAAGAGAGTCCTAACTTACTTTCTAGAGCATGGTTATCATACCTGTTTTAAAATCTTTGTCTGATAATTCCAACATTGGGTAACCTCAGTACTAGCATCTGTGATTAGTTTATTATGGTTTTTGTATGTCGTGTAATTTTGAGTTGTATCCTGGACATTTCAAATATTATGTTATGAGATTCTGTGTTCTGTTGAAATTCTCTGGAGAATGTTGATTTTTCTTTTTTTTTTCTTTTTTGGCAGGCATCTTCTTAGTTATAGGCTTCAAGTATTGAGCTGTCTCTCATGGCTTATGGTTCCAGTGTTAGCTCAGTTTTTTTCTTTGATTGTCTCTCATTTTTAATTTTTAACTAGACTTTATTTTTTAGAGAAGTTTTAGATTCACAGAAAAATTGAGTGAAAAGTACAGAGAATTGCTAAGTAGCTCTTGCCCTCATACACACACAGCCTTCCCCATCACCAACATCCAGCACCAGAGCAGTAATTTGTTATAATCAATGAACCTACACTGATACGTCATTATCACCAAAAGTCTATAGTTTACATTAGGGTTCAATTTTGCTGTCGTACATTCTATGGGTTTTGACAAATGTATAATGAAATGTACCAACCATTGTAGTATCACACAGAATAGTTTTGCTGCCCTGAACAAGCTTCTGGGTATGAGTCCAGTTTTCAAATGTTTGCTGCGCTGTTTTGACCTGCTGTATGTATGTTCCTTTTGGGGACAAGTTTGGGACCTGAGCGATAATCTGGACCTAAGTTCATTTCTCAAAATCTTTGGTATGCTGTTTGAGGTCAATTCCATATATTCACAGTTCAGAAATGGATGTGGAACTTGATCCACATCCTTTTGCCATCCATTTCTCAAAACTCCATTCTCTTCATGACTCCTCCAACACTCCCCAGATCTTTGGGTTCCCTTTTTCTGGTTCTTAGGCTAGAAAGGTGAGAGTTTAACCTCTCAGTGCTGTTGTGCATTTCCCATGACTGGGTCTGGCTCCAAGGTGAAGCAGCAAGAGGGAAGAGAGAGA